CTAAAAATGTAGCTTTGCCATCACAGAAAAAACAAACAACCAAATATATTAAAATATATTAAAATAGAATATTTAAACACAAACAGCTGTTTTTAATTATAATAATATTTCACAATATTATTTTTTTTTTGTATTTGTGCTCAAATAAATGCAGCTTTGGTGAGCATAATGGATTTTTCAAAAACATTTATAAAATCTTACTGACCCCAAACATTTGAACAATATTGTATCTGTATCAGAAACAATTTATTTATTTGGAGCAGAGCAGGAGAGTAAGTGTTTGGAGAGTTTATTTTCCTTATGAAAAAATCATTTAAACATATACCTGACAAAAATCTAAGTAATTAAATTCAATACTGAGGAACTGAGGAAAGTTTAGATAAAATAACAGTCATGTACAAAACCTGACAACATCTTCAGAAAACACAGCATAAATTATGGGTTACCATGCATAGATATTTCATTTGTAAAATATAAATCAAAATGAAAAAGAAAAGGTTTGAAAAGACATTTTCTCGAGTCTCTCAAAACTAGTGATTCACAAAATAATTTCAAGTTTGTTTTTCATATGAATAGTAAAACTGTTAATTAGTTGTTTTTTAAAAAATATTTTTAAGCAAAATCGTTTTTAAAGAAACAAAATAAGTTGAACAAACATTTTTTTTCCACTCTTCCTCTGATGAGTACATACAGAGAACATACAAACCAAAAAGAATGAGGCCATCATATCTACCAAAAGTACTGATTCATAACAGTAAAAAGTTTGAAATCAAGGTCATTCCTGCCCATTAAAGAAAAAGCTCTCACGCTGGGGTGTGATTGGCCTTTCTGAGGTGGCACGTGCAGACCATTGGCTGACTGGAAGTGGCGTTTGAGGTGGTTGGCTGAGGCTCCTCTTTCTTCTTGGGCTCATCTTTCTGCATCTCCACCTCTTCAACATCCTCCACCTTTTGGACCTCTTTCGGCTTGGGCCGAGGGTCTTTTCCTTCCTTCTCCCCCACCAATGCTTTAGTAGGTTCTCGTAGGTTCTTCACAGCGGTCGTCTTGCCATCCTGGATCTGATTATGAGGTTTCTCCATTGCTTTACTAGGTTGGCTCATGTATTTCCTGGGTAAGTAGGTCTTCGGAGGATAGTATGCCTCGAGCTTGCGTTTGTGGCTCATCGCTGAAGCACAGCAGACGATGAAAATGATAACTACCAACAGAGAGGTCACGACAATGATGAGAAGCAAGTTCTCCTTCAGGAAGTCCACCACCTGGTTGAAGATGAAGTCTTTGATGCGAATGAAAGTTGCCGTTATGTTGGGAGATGGCGAAGGAGATGGGGGTACGTGGGTGGTACGAGCAATGGGGAAGATGAGTTCGGGTTCGTCCCCACTGCCCTCCATGGAAACGTTGAACGGGGCAGGCTTGGCGAAGCACACGTTGCCCCAGAGAGCAGTCAGGAGCAGACAGACAAAGCGCAAAGAGAGTGACATGCTTCCTCAAAAGACCTGTAAGAAAATGGACACAAATGTGGCCTTTACTAGTCATTCCCCATAGAAAAGGGATCTGAGCATTTTTATGTTTCATCAAAGTGGTTACAGCAGGTTCTTTTTTTAAGTTATACTTAAAAAAAAAAAAAAAACATTTTAGTAAAAACAAAAATATATAATAATAGCTTAAAGTAAAAATCCTAAAAAAAGCAAGTATACAAAAAGCAATATATATATATGGTATTACCATGGTATTTTTTAAAAATACCTTGTATCATGTAAATATTAATATTCAGTACCATGGTATATACCATAAGTATTATTGTTATTTGATATACATCACATTTTTATGTAGTGTACAACTCTTAAAAATAACGGTTCTTCATTGGCATCTATGGTCCCATAAAGAACCTTTAACATCCAAAGAACTTGCATTCCACAAAAGGTTCTTTATAGTGGCAAAGTTTCTTTAAAAATGTTTTTCACACAAAAAAGTTATTTTAAAAATGTTCACTGAAAGGTTTGTTGAGGAGCCAAAAAGGGTTCTCCTAAGTCAGACATCGCTGCAAAAAGTCCCGTTAAAACCTTTTTTTAAAGTGTGTAATGAATATTTTTCCACCTTCAGTAAATGTAAAGAGACATCTAGATGGTCAGCAGTCTAGCTACACACAGAGAGCTACTATCGGTATTATCTGTATCTTGGGTTTTCTTTGAGTCACAGGAAGGAAGCTGCATGTATCAAACTACACAGAGCACATTTTCGTGTTTCTGTTTCCTCGCAGGAGAGGAGCTATTCCTGTTACATCCAGTCATTACTTATTTGGGGTGGAGGCAGAGGGAGTCCAGGCCTAGTTTGTAATTTCCCTGCCTGGCTGATGCCACCCACTCACCACAGAAAAGCAAAAGCAAGGCCAGATATATATTTGTGAGGGTGCAGCAAGGAGTGGGAGAGCCGCAGCTCACAGGCCTGTATTTACAGCCCAGCTGCAATGAGACAGACCAGAGACCAGTTAGGCTATTTCTGCTCTGTGCAAGAACATATAATGTTCATACGTGCATCATGTTTCAAAAACACTGCATTATGGGCAGACTTTATTACATTTTTCATATTAGTTTGTCAGAAAGTATAAGCCATTTTAACCATTACACTCTTAACTTGCTCTTAGCTGCAGAAGGCAGTAACAGGGAATAGGGAAATTCCCAAATGAACACCACCAGAAATGGCAGTGGAAAAAACATCCAATAGTACTATCCAATAGTCATCTATTCAGAAATTTTTACTTCTTTAAAACTTAAAATAAACACATTTCCCCCTCAGCGCCGACTAACTCTCTGACCACATTCTATGTTCTGCAAATAAGAAGGTATTACACTCCAAATTTTTGTATTATAATCTGCGAGATGAGGTAATCTCAGCAATGTGTAACAAGAATGTTACTGTAATAAAGAATAAGTATCTAAATAGAATACGTGGTATCTTCTGCATAGACCACAGGAAAAATAAAATACAAAAATCAATATAAGAATGAATTAAGAAAAATGTATCTAATTTCAGATTAAAAAATAATGTATTGATTTTTAGGCGTACAACTATCCTGAAAATCCGATTGTTTAAATAGTTTGGCCTTTGCTAGCACAGCATTAGACAACATAAGAAACTTTATTTTATGTAAAGGGTAAATGAAGGTCAATAGAAAATGTAACAAAGAGGTACAAAAGTAAACACTCAAGACACATTTAAAATGAATATCACAAAAAATATCATCATCAAACCATCGTGTTTTTTTTTTATGTAAGTAGGCCCTATATATAGTTAATGTGACGAATTAAGTTAGTTAAAACACCACTGGGTTAGAATTAGTTCTAATAAAAGATCTAGCATCATTTTCTTGCAATTTGATATTTTGTATTTAAGACATACACATTCTTAAACACTTTTTGATGCTACGATATTAGGAAAATATTAAGCTCATAATGAAAATGCATTTTTGAGTGACACTGACGTTGTATAGTGTGCCATCAAATGAATTATGAATAATGTGCAAGTGAAACATACATCCTCTCAATGAAGGAAATATAAAAATACTCACTGCTCGTCTTACTTCCGTTCTCTGATGCACTTTTACAGCGACACCTCAAGTTAGGCACTTCAAGGTAGGCAAAATAAATAAAGACAACAGTTTTAAAGGAAAATAGCTGCCTCTGTGTTGTCCTCAAATGCTTATGGAAGCTTCTGGCCATGTGGGTTTTCCTAAAAAATCAGGATAATTGCACAAGGACATTCCCCTCCTCTCTCTCCATCTCCTCCCTTTTTTGTCCCTCTCTTTCTCTCCTCTTGAACACATGGATGCATAGGACAAGGACAATCCAATATTAACCAAACAAGAAAGCAGTAAGAGGTTACAAAATAATATATTAGGCTGCAAAAACCTCTAACATTTTATCACTGTATTCTGTCAAGTTTTATTTTACCACTGCAGACTGAACAGCCTTTGATTGGTCAAAAACAGACCCAATTTACTTTCTTAATTCAGTACAATTATAAGTGCATGTTTTTCCAAATATTTTTTAGCAAATAAAACAAATAAAAGGTTCTGAAAAGGAGCAAAGATTATTTATTACTGATGTCACATAGACAGCACAGGCTATGGACAATGTTAACCAAAAGTGAAAATGGCAAGGTATTGGTCTGGCTCAAATCTGGTATGTATATGCCCACTTTTCACGGCCCAATCTATTCCCAATGGATAAAATCAAGAAATTACTGTACATCACATTGTGGAAGTAAAATGGGTTGGATACAACAATTTACATTGACTTTAAAGTTTATTTAACATTTATTCAATTCGTTGGGTATAACTTGGTTAACAGTGCACTTTCATGTCATTTTGCACAACATTCATCAGTTAGGTGCTTTAACGCATTCATACTAGAGTCGACAAATGTACATAGAAAATATAATTATACTGCATAAAATAAAATATATACAAAAGTACTACAATATAAAACCAAAGAAATTAAAGGTGAAAACAGAAAAATTGTTGCTTTTCTCAGTGCTAATCTTGTTGACTTGCCATTTTTTAATTGACACGATGGAAAGTGTGTAACTTCGGCACAACAGCAAAAGATTTTTGGGAACTTGTGAAAGCATATATTTTATGTAAATTTGCAATGATAACATGTTATATTCAGACTGCGATAATCTCCAACATCACTCTGTTCGAGTAAATTATACAGCGCTGGTTGAACCACAGGCAGGAATAGAAGACATTCAGCAATATGTTCTGCCAAACCTCACTAATGCCTGAGCTCCTCGGAGTATAGTATTTCAACACTGGAATGATTACATTAAAAGATTCAAACATGCAAAAACAATTAAAATATAAATGTTCCACTGATTAAATAAAAGATTTAAAAAAAAAAACTTTAGACATGCATGTATTTATATATACTGTACACCGTTAGAATTTAAATCATTCCCTTTTTTTAAAATCCATATAGTACAGTATGAAAGACGGCTAGTTAATCCCAGAATATAAAAAAGAACAACCAATCTAGATCAATAACATGCTATATACATATATAATAAAATGGTTGTTTTGAAAGGTGCACTTCAAAGCCAGTGAAGACCGAGAGTGAGACACTGGCAACCAGTAGCACAGATATGCTGTGAATTAATTAATTTTTTGACAGTGCAAACAATTCTAGAGCTGGGTTTCTATCAAACCTGAGCACTGACTTAAAAAACCCCCACAGTGTTAGAGTAAACATTTCCGTGCATACAGTGCACACAGCAGGTGAAAGGTTTAAACTTCTAAAGAGGGCCCTCGGTATCAGGAAGAAAGCTGTTTAGAGTAAGATTATCTCCGTCAGGATCTCCATCCTCAGTATTCGGGATCAGTGCTCCATTACTTTTAGGGTGTCGCCTTGGCTTTGGAACAGGGTGATCGGTATCATTCATAAGGGCAGAAATGCAGACCATCTCAGTCTCCTGGAGAAGATGTGCCTTGTGCCTGTATCTGTATCCCGAAAGTTTTGTAGCCAGACAGATGGTGCTAACGATAAAGATGGTCGTCAACGCAGCCATCGAGGCAATGGCGATGAGGCAGCGACTCACAAGTCTGTCATCTTGGGAAGAGGCAGTGGGACATGAGTGGGTCGTTACCGTGGTTGATTTTCTAGTGGCCGTTGAGATAACTGTTGTGGTACGTCTATCCGTATCTGTGGACATTCTCGTAGTCGCTGCTGTCGTTTGCTTCTCTGTTACCTTGCCGGGCTCAAACGATGCAGGAAATGTGGGGGCAGAACTTCCTGCTTGTGAAATGTGTCCAGTACCATTACTATTACTTATTGTGGGAAGTTGGGTGTACAAAGTACTCTCGTTATCTGTTGGCTGGTGGACTGTCAGGTTCTCAGTTCCTGCAGAGTACTTCTGTTGGGTGTGGTTCAAATCTGGAGCACCATGGTAATCTATAGTTGCCGAGACATTTAAAGCCGGTTTTATCTCTGCCGTATGTAATGCACCTGGAGCTTTTAAAGTTTCAAGAGTCGTGCTACTTGTATTCTCAGCTTCAGCTTCACCTGTTGTACTGTGTGTGTCGCTGCTGTTTATCGATGTTGTGTTGTTACCAGTTTCCCTTTTCATCCTAAGATATCTTGGCGTAACCAAACTACTCAAAGTCAGCAGCAAAACAAGAACTGGTAAACACCCAAGTCTGTTAGTCACCATCGCCATCTGCACAAAAAAAGACAGAATGTTGTAATAATTCTTTTGACACAAAATATCACCAATAAAACAATTCACAAGCATACTCATATACTGTCTGGTAATTCCTCTTCAGATATTAAGCTTATTCAGTGGCGAGGAACCTTCAGACAATGAGAACAAAACAATAATGGAAGAACAAACACGTTGTCGTAACATTTAAACGTGTTGCTCATACTTTTGCAAGCTCATGTGGCTGTTTGTGACTCTAGCATGTGGTTGGACCGTTTGTGTGAAATACTTCCTTTTAACTGAAAAAGTGTAATTGTTGTATTCTTAACAACACTTCAATACTCAACTTTAAATATATTACAATTACTGTCATGGTAACACTTGTGAAATTTAGATCTTTAACAATTTTCTTGTAGATATTCAACCACCAGTTTGAAAGAAATCACAAATTCATATACAAATAGAATCTTATTTTAAAGACAATTCAAATTGACAACAAAACTACGTACCATCGGTTTCTACTCCCGAAAGGATCTTGATCTGGAGTTCGATTGAAAAATTAGCTCCCCTCACACACTCACAACGTAGTCTCAAACCTACTCAATGCACAAATACAGGAAGTCAAACCTCATGAAGCGTTAGGCTAAAGCTGGTTCACAAACTCTGACGCAAACACAAATGAGCAAGAGATACTTATATATCACATCTTAGTTCCTAAAACAGTAAGCTAGACCTTTTAACCAACCAACCTTGCTTCCACAAAGAGAGGTTTTATAATTAGAGAAAAAAAATTAGAGACAAATGCCAAAATTTCTGTTTATTTCTTTTTTTATTTTCCTGGTAATCAGTAAGACTCTTTATACTTGAAGCAGATGAATGAACAAAAATGGAAGAGTTATGCACAGAATTGAATTTCTAGATATCCTTCCTTTCGATTTGTATCATTGGACAGATAAAAGGCTCACAGTGTGCATGTTAAGGATGGGGGGAAAATGGGGAATTTCCTTAAAATCATCAAACTCCAAATGATGGACAAACACCCTCAAGAAACAGCCAAAGAAAAAAAAATGAAAAGGAAAACTAAAAACATTTATTTACAAAGCATCGAAATCAACAACTACCATCCAGCTTTCTTCCTGCATTCTTTTTTTTTTAAACCTACTTAAATCCCTTTTCACTTTATTCATTCACTCCTTAGAAACCACACACTCGAGGGTGCATCACAGATGCCTCCTGAGGCCACTTAAACACTCAATACGGATTCATCACACATCCTGAAGTTGATCAAGCTTGGCACATCTGTACCCACACGGTCCCTACGTTTTCAAACCCTTCACTTTAAAACCTCACCCAAAAGAGAGAGCAAGAGCAAATGCAAATGACAGAGGTATTGAGTTGTTGCCGTGAGATCTGAAGACTCGTTTGAAATTAAGTACTTGTAGGTCGGGTTGGTTCTGAGGAGAGGTGGAGGCTATTTTAGACTAAAAAGCATGTGGAGGGGGAAAGGTGCTTTTCAGAACCTATGAAAGAGGCACTAGGGAGTGATGCAAACAGAAATGAGATATGTCGAAGCGTCAACCTGAAAACCACAAGAGAACATTCTGACGTAGGATGTAGCTGAAGCAATCCGAATCACAGTTTCCTCTCTTGGAATGAAAAAAACACATAACCAAACTGAAAAGAAAATCAACTTGTCATCACCTCAATCTTGTGGCACACATAATTCAGCCGTAAAAGGATAATCTAGACGTGAACCGCCCCTTGAGAGAATTGGTTCTGCTTGGCTAGGAGAGCACTGTAGACACACAGCGTGTCGCAAGACGACATTAGGAAAAGGAAGTCAGTCATGACGCATTATTTTGCTGGTAGTCACGGTCTATAATGCACAGCAAAAAATGTACAGACAAAGCTGTTGAATTGAAAGTTTGGTTTCTGAGATGGTATGGACGACACAACTCAAGATGAGATTTGAAGGAATTAATTAGAAAGCAAAGCAAACCTAACAGTGTTTCTTAGACCTGAACAATGTCTGACTGGAACAAAGTCAGAGTAAAAGCTATCAAGCCGGTAAAGCAATGAACAAGTTTTGCTGCTAAAGCTAATGCTGTTCTGAGCTTGTATCCTCATGGTTTGCTTGCATTTACCATTATGATGGGCAACTGCTGCCATCAAGAAGCAAGTGTTTGGAGTTGTGAGAAGAGTACACAATAACTGTGTTCATAGCAACCACCAGAACCAGAATTATTTTGATTATTTTCCTAATTACTATCTTAATACATACATGGGTACCTGAATAACAAAGAAACATCTTTAGTGGAATATTTTAGAGCACCTGTATTGTTTTCCAGTAATGTTTTGTAAACTTTTTCAACTTTACATGTTTGCCAGGTTGATTAAAATCTTTATTTTGTATTCTTTATTCTTTAGAAAGACACCTATAACATTGACAAATGGTTCCAATGATTTCCCCTCCTTGCATTACTAGCATATTGCTTTGTCCCTTATAAGTACAAAATGAAAAGCTAGTCAAATACTGTCAGGGAGGTGAATAACTCCTCTATAAATTTGGCAACTCAGAAGGGCGAGAGAGGAACTGCAATACTGAAGCTTCAAACTTTGAGCTCATCAAGTTTATGTAACTGCTTCATAATGCGATTTTCTTGGTCACAATTTTTAATAAGAAAAACAAAACAAAAACTTAAGACCATTCAAGAACACAAGATAAAACACAGCCATTGCAGAAAGAATTGGAGTGAAATTTGGAGTAAAAGCTAAACGGGTCAAATTTTGAAAAAACATTTGTAGTTTTCCAAATGGCTATGAGGTGTAAACAGGTTTTTGGGAATGCAAAAGGAATAATTGATCATCTTGGAATGTTGGTTGGAGTCTTTGCAAGGCAGGCTTCAGACGGAACACTGTCATGATGATTGGCAGTGACGGGTCCCGCCCACCTGGCCAATGGGATATCCTGAATAGAAGGGGAGGGGATTACAGGGTCCCTTTAGATGTCCATTTTAGACAACTGCTCCTCAAGTTTGGCAATTCTTTTTTCCTGACTGCTGACAAGCTCTCTGAGAGATTTCATTTCTTTCAAAACCTCTTCCAGCTTAGCTTCACTTTTCTGTTGAGGAAGAAAAAAAGTGAAAGACAAAATGTTAAGAACAATGGTCTAAATTCAATATTCAAATAATAATAAAACCATATTGTTTTGTGCCAATATACACTGCCCTGACAAAAAAAAAAAAAAAAAACGGGCACACTATTTTGTTGGATCACACTTAACTTTGATTACAGCATGTATTCAGCATGGCATTGTTTCGATTAACCTTTGCAATGTCTCAACTTTTATTTCAGTTCAGAGTTGTAATATATTTTCACCGAGATCTTGTTTTGAGGATGGCAGAGGCGAACGACAGCGTAACGTCTTCTCCAGCACATTCCAAAGATTCTCAACGGGGTAAAGACCGGGACTCCATGTGTGAAAATGATGTCTCATGCTCCTTCCAATCCATTGATGGGAAAGCCTGGTCATCCCCTATATTCATTTTAGAGCCACACAATGTTGCTGAACCTAGGCCTGACCAGGTGAAGCAACCCCTGATCATAACACTGCCTCCACAAGCTTGTACAGTAGGGACTAAGCATGATGGGTGCATCACTTCATTCGCCCATCACTATGGAACAGGGTAAATCTGGACCACATGACCTTTTTCCATTGCTCCAGAGTCCAATATTTATGCTTTCTAGCAAACTGAAGCCTTTTTTCCCCAAATAGCCTCACTAACATGTGGCTTTCTTGAGGCCACACAGCTGTTCATTCCCAATCTCTTAAGGTTCTCATTACATAGTGCATGTAGAACGCTCTTAAAGTCACTATTAGACATAGCTGTGAGTTCTACTGTCGATTTTCTATGATTTGACTTCACCAAACATTTAAATGATCACAGCCATTCAAGATTGTTTTTGTGATTGTGAACCACATTTTTTCCACTGTGATGATGGTTCACCACAATCCTTCCAGGTTTTAATAACACACTGGACATTTCTTAGTCCAATTTGAGTAATTTCAGAAATCTCCTTAGTTGTTTAATTTGCTTGGTGCAAGCCAATAATTTGACCCTTCTGAAATGTTGCCAGCTGAAACATCAATCACGGCAGGAATTATCCAATCAAAGGCTCTTGCCTATTTGCTCATTTAAATTCCAGGAGGAAACTTTTTTTGGCAGGGCAGTGTTTATGAGTACGCGGGAAACACTTAACGTAATGTGTAAATGCACGTAAATAATGTAAATCAAGCACGCAACATTAGCGGACCGGAGGGAATGATATGGATTTTTTTTCCAGAAAACTTGTTGCACAAAATAAATTCAAGCACTTTCAAGGACCTGTATCTATGTATGTTTATTTTCAAAAACTTTCCAGGGCCTTTTTTTTTTTCCAGATTTACAAACTTTCAAGGATTTCAAGGAACCATGGGAACCCCGTGTTATTTTCGTATTATTTATTTACCATTATAGGATATATCCAAGGGGTCATATTCATTATTTTGATTCTTGGCTGAAACTGAATAGGTTAACATGCTTTAATGCTCAAAAACCACATTATTTTTTGCATACTGTAAATTATTGCAGCTTCTCTATTCCCAGTCTGACTGAAATGCACTGATTTCTGCATAGCCCCTTCTTTCGGAAAAACTCAAGAGCGCTTTAATCAGCCAGCTGACCCAGTGCGTTGTGATTGGCCAGATACCTCAAGCGTGTTGGAAATGTAATGCCTCTTACCATAATCGCAAGCTTTAGCTTCCAAGGCTTCTAAAGCATTTATATAAATAGTTAATAATATTCTCGTCGGTTTTACCATATCAGTTCGAGCCCAAGTCGGATTCTGAAAATTCAGACGATCAAGCCGTTTGATCGGAAGACCAACTAATATTTCACATTGTGATGTGGACGTTCAAGGAAGTAACATCTGAACTTCGTTTGAGGCGTTTTAGGCAGGTCTGGATCAGTGTTCTCCGTTAGATAAAATAAATGCTTTCGTGGGAGACTACGTAACTCTGCAGATCTTATACAAGCATAAACAGATACATTACACACTAAAGGAAAATTAAAACACTATAAGGCATCTTATGACCCCTTTGATATTTTGAATTAGCATTTAATTTGATATTTTCCTCTTGTCATTTAAATGTTTTGTCATTTTTTATATTTCTATTCAGCTTTATTTCAATTAACAAATACTATTTTTAATAGTTAACAATACCAATGCTGCCATAAGCAAATAATTAAAACTCATATGTATTCAGATTGTAGGATAATCATTAGGTGTGATGAATAGCAGCTAACATTGGTGAGTTTGTAGGGCAGCGCACTGGCTCCTATGATTACAGCCCTGAGCATAGAGAGCTGGGTTTAGAGGGCAGGACACACATGTGGTGATGCTGTCATGTGGTTAGAGGCATTTGGTTGGGGGTTGGTTCTGCTGTAGAACATCCTTAAAACTATAAAAACACTATATGCAAGCCAAAAAGGGAAGTTGGCCTTGAACAATACAATAATTTAGCTGCATGTAGGTCACAACTGCAGCACAGTGCAAATTAAAGTCCAACTAAAGAAATTGCGTTTTTATATATGTTTCAATAAATTTAGTGCAGAGAATGGGAACTGTGTGTAAAAATTGAGAGGGAAATAGAGGAAAAACTGCTGGTGGATGATAAGCTGAACAGGAATAAGTAAACCAGTAAATGAGTCCCACTCACGATAGATGGCGTGGAGGTGGCAGTCTTGGTGGCAGGGGCGGTATTCTCTGTATTCTTGCTCATCTTGTTGTCTAAGATGTTCTTCTTGACCACTTTGAGATCGCGGTTCTTGCCTGGGACGTATCCATTTTTCAGGGATATCGGGATAGGGTCTCCATTCTTCCCTTCAAACCAATCCTCGGCCTCCAGGGCGGCCTCTGGACCTGCAGTGTCAGGGTAAAGGTCATCCTGGAACAAGTCCGACTGATGGAAGGAAGAGTCTTATTAGATGTTAGGATATGCAGGATATGAATCATGCAAACTATTGGAATATAAACAACTGGGATGCAGATACAGAGTTCAGTTGCTTGGTTGGTGTGAAAGCTGTTTTCTGAATTTATGGCTCTTGATCACTCTTTGGTAAGGGCACTGAAAATGTTGGCCATGTATTTTTTTTTTTAGATTTTTTGAAAAAACATTTCATGCAATATATAGACCACCATTCAAAAGTTTGGGGTCAGTAAGAATTTTATTTGTGTGTGCAAATTTAATACTTTTAAGCAGCAAATAAATGCTGTTCATTAACTTCTATTTATCAAAGGATTAATGACTGCTGAATATTCAGCTTTTCCATCACCGGAATAAATTATATTGTAAAATATTAAAATGGAAAACAGTCATGTATATACATATATATAAATTATTTCCAGTGAATATTAAAATACATTGCTAAAAGATTTATTGTATAACAACACTGGTCCAAAACGCATGTTGGCCCAGCGGGTCATTCTTATTGTTGAATCCTTATTAAAAGCAAAGGGACTATTTTTGACACTGACTCCTCCAGCATTGTTGCCTAGGTGCAGTGGTAAACAGCTGTCACCATAACTCATGAGCTGTGTTCAAATTGCCCCCTATACCCTCATTCACTATTTCCTACATTAGTCCACCTAACTAATATAGTCCAGTTGAAGGAGTGAATGAAAACGAGTGAGTGAATTTGGACAGAGTGCGCCGATGTCCTATATAATATTACGCTGTGCCTTCATTGGACCAGCGGTTTGAAAAATGGATGGATGTGTGGATTCAGCTACAGGCACCATCTTCTGGCGAGACGCAGGAATTCATTCAGCACAACCCTCACAGTGCATTATGGGTATCATCTAGCCGTTGAGTGTACATTCATTGTACACTCGTTAGTGTGATGCATTATGGGATTGAATGAGTGCACTCGATAACGTCCACTGGGGTTTTGGACACCACTGCAAATATCCCTTCAAATTGTGGCCTATTTAAGGGTAAAGGAGGCGATTTCGGACACAGCCAAGGTAGTACATGTTGATGGTGCAAACATAATGCGGTTTAAAGCAAAATTATAACATGTGAAGAAAGACTTGCAGTGGTGGAGTGGTACTAAATAAATCAAACCCAATGTGAAAACAGGTGTCAAAACAGGAGGAAGTTGTAGTTTAGCATTGGCAGTGTTGCTGTACTCTTAAAAACAAAATAGTAAAACAAATCAAAAGGCTCACTTTTCTTGGCACGGTCATGATGATAGGCTCACACTTTCTCTCATGCAGTTTGTAAAACCTGAGAACACACAAGCACACAAGACTGTTATAACATGTTCAGAAGGGTAGCAGATGTTAGTGCATGACTCATTTGGCAAGTCAAAACATTATGGATAAAAGAGTAGAAAAAATAACACACCATTTAATTAAGAGCATTAGATACCAGCAAACCTGAACCTCTATTCATTAATCACTCCCCCTAAATCTTATAAATCTTAATCTGAAGGATCCAGCAGGCCTTTGTTAACCAGGTCTAATGCTGCCCTCTTTTGGGTGGATTGGGTCAGCAGTTTATGAAAAAAATAGTAAAACCTAGACTAAATAAACAACATAGAAAAAGAAAAACAATCCAAAAAGATGTAAAAAAAAAAAAAAAAAAAAAAAAAAAAATCTAATAAAGATCTAATAAAGACACATTCAGGTCCTATTTCACCCTAAACCAAAAAGGCACCCTATATCCCAAAGAGGATACATTTAAATAAATATATACACGTTTTCTTTGTTCATTTTGCATCACATCAAGACATTATGACATTTAAGACGATTTTCATCTCAATTTGTCATTATCATTAATAATCAAAGTGCCCCTATTATGCTATTTTAAAGGTTCATAATTTAGTTTTGGAGAACTCCTACAACAGGTTTACATGCACCCAAGGTCAATAAACACTTTAATTTTCTCATAACACACACTGCACACCACCTCATTTCTCAAAGAGTCTGAAAACAGTTTGTTCAAAGATTCAATCTGATTGGTCAGATGTCCCAGTCTGTTGTGATTGGTCTACCGCTAATAGCGTGTGTCTGAAACGAAACGCCTATTACCATCTGAATTTCAGTCTGGCATTCTGTACATTTGTAACATTGACTGGAATCTTTCTTTTAGGAGACAACAACCTTTTTTGTTGTGCAGTTTAATCTTCAAAACTTTGCAGAACTTTTACTTTCAAAAAAAGGTATGTTACAGACAGCATGAAAAATAATATTAAAAAAAGTATAATGGGGCACTTTAATTCTTTTTTATTTACAGCAATATATCAATAAAACAAATGCAATGTGAAAATTTTATATGGTTATAAAATTAGGATAAAATTAAAATATATTTTATTCCTTTAAGTTTAGATTTTGGTCATATTACTGACGTATTTCATGTGATTTCCTACATACTTCCATTAGCTTGTATGATCATTGTTGTTGCTATACCTTGCGATCTCACACTTGTTGACGTCCAGCCCTCTCTTGGGCATGTATCCCATGCCCCTCTGAGGCTCCTTAGTGGTAAAGGTGCTGAGGTAATGGACAAAGGGAGCTTCATCCGTGATCTCAAAGTAACGGATACTGCTGTCACCCTATTAGAAACAAATCCTCAGTCAAAGACTAAAAACTAGGGATGCACCAAAATTAAAATTCTGGGCCGAAACCAAAAATTCTGGATGCACTTGGCTGAAAACCAAAACTGACTTTTACATTTTTCATTAATTTCTTATTTTAAATTAGGGTTTTTTTTTGTGAGGGATAATTGTATTAATAATAGACTTTTGAATTAATTCCAATAATTTTATTGAATCTGAATTTAAAAAATACAAGCCAATAAAATAAAATAACCACACTTTTATTGAAATTAACATCAAAATTGGACAGAAAATATATTATTCCAATTTTAAATAATTTTCTATTTTAATATATTTTAAAATTAAATTAATTCATGTGATGACAAAGCTGAGTTTTCAGCATCATTACTCCAGTCTTCAGTGTCACATGATCCTTCAGAAATCATTCTAATATGCAAATTTGCTGCTCAAACATTTCTTCTTCTCATTATTATTAGTATTATTATCATCATCAATGTTGAAGACAGTTGTGACAGTAAATATTTTTGTTGAAACTGATATTTTTCCAGGATTCTTTGATAATCGCAAGTTGAAAATCACAGCATTTATTTGAAACAGAAATCCCTTGTAACATTATAAATGTCTATGTTGTCACTTTTTGATCAATTTAATGCATCCTTGCTGAACAAAAGTATTTCTTTTGAAAAAAAAAAATCTGACATTGCCCAAACTTTTAAACGGTACTGTATGTGCTGTGTTTACCTTTCCACACAGGTAGACCACATTAGTATCGGGATCATAGAAGGGCAGGAGGACTCCATTACTGGTGTCCATCTCATGGACAGAGATCGGCTCCTCAATATTGTCCTGAAAGACAAACAGAGACAATTTATAGTCTATAATTACATTAAAAAGGAACATTATATGTCACTTGTGTCAGGAACTGCAACTAAAATTAATTTTCTTTATTCGGAAAAGCATGATCGGAATAAGTTAAGGCTGGAATACACTGGAATAGACGTTTGCACAGATTGCTGCCTTGATTTACAGTCTGGACAAGTTGTAGCCGAAAGTCAGAGCCAGTCTGCAGATTTGAGTTGACAGATTTCACAGAAAATCCTGTAGTGTGATGATCACAGACTCTGATTTTTTTTAAGCTTCAAAGTTTGATTCCATCCAGTAGGAGGATACCAAACATGTTGTTTTGAACACATATTGTTTTAATCGGTCACGTGTCTCCTAGCAAAAAGGCACGTGTTTCTGTGTGAGTTTGTTTAGTTTGTGATGACTTGAAAGTCTGGTGGTGTGTGATCCTCAGTTGCTTAGTGTATGATGCCCAGTTTTCTCTCTGTAACCATTTACAAAGTCGGCAAGTGTATGATGCCTGTTCAGATGTTAAAAGTTGTGTAGTGTATTCCAGCCAATCTGAAGTGTTTATTTATTAGCAGGTGTTAGATAGAAATTTGTCTGCGGTTTCCATGGCAACTTACCGGATCCCAGAGGGCGAGCTGTCTCTCGCTCATGCGGCTAAAACCAGTGGTGAACACTTTTCCGTCAGACAGGAAAATAGCTCTCATGGGCCTGGCACCCTCATGGGCCTTGTCCTTCTCCTGTCGGCGAGACACACCATAATTAATCACAACACTGCTCACATTCTGTCAAACCTGAGCAGCCAAATACTTTTTGGATCAAGTAAACACATGAAAATACAGCGCTTCAACTGAGAAAAACTGACGCCAGAGAAACCTTTCAGTCCATGTAATTCACAAACTTTTATCTGCCTATTCACTTCAGAAAAGTGAATAGCCACTAACTTACCGCAATGATCTCCTCCTTGCGCGGGTCGATGACACGGATTTTCTTGTCCTTGCAGGCAGTGCAGATGAGACTGCCATTGCGGTTCCAGCAGGCGCTGAAGATGATGTCAGGGTGCATGTCCTCCAGGGTGATCATGGACTCTCCCGTGCCCACATTCCAGATGAAAATCACATTATCACAGCCTGCAGACAAACACGGGAGAATGGGGAAATAGTCATGTTTGAACGCTGAAGAATCTATTTATTAGAAAGCCGCTGGATTGTTTTTTCTATTTAAAGGCAGGGTAGGTGATTTGTTCCAGAAACATTTTTTGTTATGCTGGTTGAAAGTCTCTTCACATCCTGATAGCAAATCACTAAGCTGAGTGATCTAAATGTTAGGGGTGTTAAAATTAATTGTTTCTACAATGCATCGCGATGCGGACGCCGGACGTAGACGATTCTGCATCGATGCAGTAGTAGACCATAACCGATTATAGACGTTATAGCCTACAGACGTTTCTCTGATGTCATAAGTCGCATACGCGCTTGTCCCGCTAGCGTAAAATGACGGGGGCTATTTGCATCCACTATTTTTATTTTATTTACAGTGTGTGAGCGTGTGTGTGCGTGCGTGTGTGAGCGCGTTATTGTAACTTAAGTAGCCTACAATACTTGACAGTTTCATGCGTTTTTTGTATTTACTAGTGTTTATAAGTGCTCCTGACTACATTCAGGAAGTGTACTTTCTTGGAGCAGATAAAATAAAAAGGGAGTTCATATATCTGACTGCTTGTATTCATTGACGGAAATGTAGCCATGTGCAGTAATATTGCAATGCATCGTGATATCGAATCGTTGAAATAATAATAGTAATCGAATTAAATTGTGAGACCACTGACAATTCACACCCCTGTTAAACGTATTTATATGCATGTATATCATCTGTGGAAGGTGTAGAACCAAAAAATGCATTCGTTCCGAGCTTATAATGCGAGATGGAAACCCGTGACGTTATACTCGGAACGGTTCGTGACTCAAATGCATGCGTTTCAATGGCAACACCATCAACGTGTTAATTATGTATTCTCAATGAGCTTAAGTGGCTACAGATGGAGCTTTGTTGATTGGTCATGTATTTATTTTAAATGGGATGAGTTTGAAGATTTGTATATGCCTGATGAAGGTCGTGAGACCGAAACGTTGCTCATAAAGACCGAAACGTTGCTCTGAGGCTTGCAACTAAAGAAACATGACTACATTTCAAGAGATTAACAACTTGACAGACAACTGCGCCAATATATTGCCGTTGAAGCAAGAAGATGTGGAAAACATCCTCTTTCCAGAGAAGAACATGCATTTTAATTTATCACATGACGAACACCGAGTGCAACTTGAAAGACTGTACCACAATGAAATGCGTCTAAAAATGCATGGATCTACATTGAGCGAATATTGGAGGAACAAGAGAATCCCATGCGGTCTGAGAATCGGACGGGAAGAAATGGATCGCCCTTTTTTAATGGACAAAGTGATTCCAGAGTGAGTTTACCATAGATAGGGTTCAAGAGCCTCAAAGAAGTTTATGACCGTGGACTCGCAGCTTCTCAAAGAGACGGCAATCAATATCTCCGAAAAAGAACTGCCTAATGATCAGATTGCGGTTTTATCTAAAGGATTGTCATTTGTGCCAACTAGTGGTGTTCATTTTTTTGGTCTAAAAGTGGATCTGTTTAAAATGTTTTAGACCGATGAACCCGAATCCGATTTAGAAAAAAAGTATCGTAATTTCATCTAGGACACCCTTTAGAACAAAAAGTAATTTCTCCCCAAATGTGTCTAACCATACTATTCACACTTTTTGTCATTTGGTCGAACAAGATGTGATGGAAACTTGCTCTTCTAGTAAAAAAATCTCTCAGAATTTTTCACTGCATGAAACGAAAGCTTTGACTGAGTTGATAAATGACCCGAACATTATTATAAAACCTGCGGATAAGGGAGGGGCGATAGTAGTTCAAGATACGAGTAAATATCAACACGAAATTCTTTCACAATTACAGAATACAAAGTTTTATAAAAACTTCCCAATGATCCCACCAATACTTATCGATCTGAGATACTGGCCTTTTTTAACAAATGCTAAAACATTAGGTTGGATATCCCAATCGGAGTTTAATTTCTTGTATTGTCAACACCCGATTACACCTGTTTTTTGTTTGCTCCCTGCTGTGCACTTCATGTGTTTTGAAGGAGGCGTGGCTTTGAAGGCGCTTTGAAGGGAGGGTGGGATCTTATGCTTTCAAAGTTAGCTTGCTTTTGCTAGCCTCTCCTCTGCCTACCTGACCTTTAAGTGTTCTGATACATTCAGTACATTAAAAAGATAAACATGAGGCGCATAACTTCCTAAACCACTCCTCTCTCTTTTCCCCCATTATTCCTTGTCTCCTCTGTTACGGTTTCTATCGATAGAGTTTGCTTTTCCTTGCTGGATCAGGTTACGCTTCTTACCTGCGCTGAGGAGGATGTTGCGAGCGGTTGGATGCCAGGTAATGATTCCCACTCTTTTAGAATGACCCTCCAGCACCACCACTGGCTCGGACAAGGATGTCACCAAACCATTCTCTGGGATCTGCCACACCTGAGAACAAACAAACAAAGAAAAATATATTCACATTTTTAACCGAACATCTCACAAATGCAAAGATACTTGACGGTGAATTAAATCAAACCAGTTATCGTTAACTAAAACTATTACAAAATTGCTTTTGGTTATTGAAATGAAGCTGCAATTAAAAAAATATATATACATAAATATTAGATGATAAATTTAAATGAAAATGAGAAATGCTGCCTTGGCAACTAACTTAAATAAAAAAAGTTTAAGTTGAAGTACTAAATTACTAAAACAAAAATAGCTGCACAGAAATATAAAAAAAATTGAAACTGAAAATTTAAAAATAAATGCCAATTCAAAATATTCATAAATACCAAATGGTATAAAAATAGCACTAAAATAACACCAAATCAAACAGGTTTTGGATCATAATGGAATTCATTATAAAAACTATGATAAAGCCATTTTGTATAACTTCTACAATTACATTAATTTGTCTGAAGATGGCAGCAGAGGGCAAATAAAGGAGTCCTGCAGAGTTTTATCAATTTAAACAAGGATTAAAAGTATAATGACCTTTTAACTTTATTATGACAGAAATAGTAATATGGGATTTTGAAGCCTCTCTCTTTAACGTCCCTTTTATCTCCCTCTACATATTGCTAATTCTCAGCATTTATTAAACAGCTATCTTAAACATTTTATGATGATTAGAAAAAAACCCGCAACATTTTACATTTAAATATTTCCGTATATCAACCTCTTAACTGTGTAATAATAGACTGGATGAGTATACATTATTCCTTTACATAGATAGGAGACACTGCTAATCCTGTTCAATGTCACTATCATCAACATTGTCATCCCCCAAAAACATAGTCAGTCACTAATAAAATAACCATCCAGCATGTCTATACCTAAATATTAGGGCAGGGTAAAAAAAAAAATCTATATACATATTGATTTCTTCACTTTAATCAATTCTCATTTTGAAGAACCGATGTCATTTCTTAGAATCACAAGAATCCAACAAATCTCAATAAGCCTTGTTACTTCTGATATGAAAAAGTCTCACCTTTCAAATTCAGTCAGTTTTATTACGAAATCCAAATAATAAATACTGTTTCTGAGCTCTTAATGTGCCGTGACAGATTGCTGTTGCCGTTCAATAGAAACAGTAGCACGAAGCGCACGTGAACCAATCATCTCTTCTGAGACTAGTTTCAGCACGGAATAAACATGAATGAACATCAAATGGTATGTTAAAAAATACATACTATTAACAGAAATCCGTATCATGTCTTATGTAATGGCTCAATCAGTGTTTCAACCGCGGAACGACGTCAATAAAAAGCTTGTAAACGGTCACATTTACCTCAGAAAAGCCATTCAATGTCCAAAAACTCATAAGTCAGCTAGATAAATAAACTATATTGCATATTCGTTGTATTTTTACTTTACTTATCTTTTTTTATGGCAGCCACAATTTAAATGTTTATATGTTGTTCAAATGTGTAAAAACTAACTAATTATGTCATTGAAAATGTATTATAATATTATAAAAACTTAATGTGTAATTTAATTGCAAGTATATTATATTATAGTGATGTGCCAACTGGGGTTCCCTGTATGGTTTACAACATCGAGAGAGATTTTTTTTCCTTAAGGAAATTTGCCATGTACTGATAGGCCACAATCAATCGATATCGAATCGAAAGCTTGTGAATCGAATCGTGAAATTAGTGTCAATGCCCAGCCCTAATCAATATATTTCCGATGTTATGAATCTAGGAAGACAGGACAGAGCAAAACAGCAGGAATCATCAACTTCCCGGCCTCAGTATTCCCCAAGAGAGCGGACGAGAGACAGTGTCCTAATAAACTCAACACTTGCACACTCATTACACGTACACAAGCACTGGAGTTGCGTTTTTTTTCTTCACACTGGCCAAATAAGGGCTAGTAGTGTGATAAAGACCCAGAGCCAGCCAGACTGACCTCAGAACTATAAAATGGTAGCTGCTGATTCAATGACTTCAGGCTGGGCTTAAACTAATCTAAAACAGTCCTTCAGTTATGCTGTGATCCGATCTACTGCAGTTCGCATGAGTCATGGGGCAAACTTTGCCAGCCACACATGAACTCAATGGGTGGGGTGAGATGTGATGCTGGCTATTTAAGGAAATTTATCTAGAAATGGTCAAATCCACCCATCAATAAACAAGTTTTAAAATGACTGCGCCGATTTACCTAGAGTTGAATTCTGCAATCAATGCAATGTGATTTGTTAATTGTCAGTATGATGTATATCAATGCATTGATTACAGAGTTTAATTTAGATTTATCCATACAATGCCATTCAAAAGTGTGATCAGTGTTTTTTATTTTTCAGAAATGAATTTTTTTATTTAGTAAAGCCCTATTCGGACGGTACTAGTTTAATCAATCCAATACAAATCTTCCATGTCTTTTTTCTCTCTCATTCGACCTCAGTAAAAATTCCAGGGCAAATTTCCTAGTGTTTTTCGGAAACTCAACGGTCCTCTGGGAAATCTAATCTCGTGATTGTCTATATTTTATTATACAAACGCTTCTCATCATGTGTTTTTTGACCTACCTGAGCTACTGTTTGCGCAACAATTTTCCACATACTTTCATTAAATTTTTTTTTTTTTTTTTTTAAGTGTTAGTAAGCTGTCTGTTAGTTAGCATCAAGTCTAAAACAATGTTAAAATGCCATCAGTTTTCTAAGGCCGTTTAAATGATGACAGTGGATGTGTGGAAGTGAAGAGAGAAAGGGTGACATACCATCACGGTGCAGTCTTCAGATCCACTAGCGATGACCTGGTCATTGTGAGGGCACCAATCAATGTCCAGAACAGGGCCAGTGTGGCCACATACTGTAGGGTAGGCCTTATCTATACGGCCCGACTGCAGAGAGAAAACAGACACAAAGACAAAAATTAGAAAGCATTTGGCCCATTGGGTAAATGAAATGAGCTCTGACAGTGCCAGCCAAGCTCTACGTATACCAAAACAAACACTTGAGGCCTGTCCTGCATTCATGAAATGGGGGGGGGGGGGGGGGAGAAAGCCATTCTTCTCCAAATTATCAAACAATAGCTTATCCGGTCATTCAAGCGAACAGCAGAAACATTTACACACGACAGCTGATATGTAATAAAAACAGATTGCGAGGCTTTTGTTCTTTCAGCTCTGTTTCAAAATGCAGATAGAAATACGTGTGCAACAGGCCATTGACCCTGGGAGTGAAAGGTCACACGGAGGTTTGGGTAGTGTGAGAAAGCTAAAATGAGATGATTTTGCCCAGTCAAAAAAAACATCTATGATAATGAAAATGATAAACCACAACAGTTAAATATTGAGTAAAAAATAAATACTAATTATATTTTGCTGATATTATACATTTAAACAATATTGGGAATAGAAACAATGACTATTGCACATTTTTTTTGGTAAATAATAAGCCTAATTAATTATTGGAATCCGTTCTTTCAAATGGTCCGTTTAAATGAATCAGTTCAGAGATTTGTTTGCAAGTCAAAATAATTTATATTAAAAAAAAAATGCTTATTACTATCTATTAGTGCATTAAATAAAAAGCAAGCCTTACCTTTAGCTGTATTTTACTTCTATACTATATTTAATTTTCCAAAACATATTCAAATTTTATATTTAAAGATATGTACAGGTCTGCAAAAGTCCAATGCGATTGTTTGTATATGAAAAACAGTATTATTCTTCATTCTAAGCAAATTATGTAATATCATTATACAATGCACAGGCCTGAAGACTAGAGAGAAAATACAACAGAAGATTTCCCTCCTCTCCCTTGTACACAGCAAACAAAGAAGCCAAATAAAGGCACGGCTGCGGTCCCATGCCCAGTCAGCTGACTTCCTGATGACATCAGTGCCCTCTGCTCAAAGGTCATGACCTTTGATCTCTCGCGAGACCACAATCTCTGCACAGGGCTGTGTGATCAGGTGTCATCTGATCACATTGTTCAGTGTAGAGAGATGTCCACACCCGCTCTTTTGTTCATGCTGGTGCTTTGCCTATGGTGCGATGACATAACAGCAGAAAGCCCAGCCCAATAGAGCACAACAGCTTGGGCTCTTCTCAAGCCCGGCCTGTACAAAAAAAAGACACTACCCACCTGTGCAGAAAACCACTCCGTGTACACATTCCTTCTCAAGTCTGGGCATGGTTATAACACAGCCTTACGTAAGAGAAACCATACCTTTTCGTAGCTATTTGTGAGCTAACCGCCCCTCGTGTTTCTTTTAAAATGCGTGTGGATGGTTTCAAATGAGAGCAGTGAAAAAATGTCAAGACGACAAAACCACAGTTCACAAGAAATGTTCAAAGGTAACTGGAAAGAAAAGGAGATAGAAGAATACATAAGACGTTCTCAAAACTGAGAAAATAATCCAAGACTCACGCAAAGAACACAAAGAAATGCCGCCCTATTATCAGAAATACGGATTACCAATCAGTCCATGAGCAGCTAAACAATGATACACACTTACACACTGATACAGCTGCTTGCCAATAAAAACAGAATTCCTAATTCAAAGTCCAGCTGTGGGCAGCGGTCTGTCAACCATCACATGGACCGTAAGATAACAAGCCAAGATACGTTTTAGAATCACTTGCTGATATTGTCTGTGTAAAGTTATGACGAATCTGTAAAGCTGGTAAAGACAATACATGCAAAAAGCGATATGACGCAACTACCCGTATAGCTCTGTTGACAAGAAACTTTACCTAAAGAAAACAAACATCACCTAACCAGAAGATAATACACCTAGGAAACTATTAATACATAAAAAAAAAAAAATGTACAGCTCCAATACGGTTTAACTTGTATTGAACCCAGAACATTACTTAAAGGGATAGTTCACCCAAAAAAAATGTCCAAACCCGCAAGACCTTCGTTCATCTTCGGAACACAAATTAAGATCTGTTTGATGAAATCCGAGCACTTTCTGACCGCCCCATAGACTGCAACGTCATTGCAACTTTCAAGGCCCAGAAAAGTAGTAAAGACATCAGTTTAACCTTAATTTTAAGAAGCAACAAGAATACTTTTTGTGCTCAAAAACAACACAAAATTAACGATTTTACTAAACAATTTCTTCTCTTCCGTGTCAGTTTCTGACGCCGGTTAAATTCAAAGTCCTTCAACCATCACATGCAGGGAGAAAAACATACCAAGAACATTCATTATCAGTGTTGGGGAAAGTTACTTTTAAAAGTAATATGTAATATTACTCCCTAAACTAATTATCTTTTTAATGGAAAGTAATGCGTTTTCCTACTTTGGTACTTTTTGTCTGTTCCCATGCAAGTGGCTAAGTTATAGAGAAGAGAGAGAAAAAAAAACTACTGAATTAAAATGTTAAGTAAATTTATTAAACTGAAAAGTAATGTGCATTACATTTTTTATTGGTATACTCAAATATTAATGAATAAATCAGTAACACTATTTCGATAGTCCACTTTAGACATTCTACTAAATATAAGTAACTTTGCAGCTACATGTCAACTAACTGTCATTAGAGGATTAGTAGACTGTCTGCTTAATATCTGCTAACACTTTTTGTTGTTGGTCCCCCTACAGACATTCCTACTGACTATAAGTAACTTGGCAACTACAAGTCAACTTGTTCTCCTAACCCGAACCCTAACCTAACAGTCTACTAATACTCCAATGACAGTTAGTTGACATGTAGTTGAAAAGTTACTTATAGTTGAATTCTAAAGTGGACTATCAAAATAAAGTGGAACCAATAAATCTATAAAGTATGTTACTTTACTTGTTACATCAAAAAAGTAATCTGATTACATAATGCACTTTACCTGTAATGCATTACACCAACACTGTGGGTTTTCCTATGATCATTTGCACTTGTTTAGTCGTAGACATGAAGGTGGAAAAGAGGGGAAGGTGGTTAAAGGGGCACAAGTTCTCTCAAGAGAACCTTCCAGTGAAAACCCGTAACTCAAAGCCTCTAAACGACGAGGATGATGCACTAACATTAGTCGCTATATTGATTTACTGACATTATTGCCAGTTGGATTTTATGGATCACTGACATTGGAGAAGGTCAGCAGCAATAATTTGCCTATGGATTGGTTTGTTTTATCAGTTATTACACACTCAGAGACAGCATATAAAGCTTGCCTATATGTGCAAGCTTGTGATCACAAGACATTTTTTAAGGGATGATCAAATTATGAAAGCAAAAGTAAAAAAAAAAAAAAGAAAGCTTAAAGAAACAAAAAAGCAGATATTAACTGATTACCAGGATTTCAAATGATCCAGAATAATGTCATGATCACTGATAGCACAAAAATGTCGCCAAGATGTCTATATTATGTGTGCATTTTCCCCAAGACATTTTTAGAAATTCTGCTCATCGAAAAAAGGTACAGTTACAATGACAACAAACATGTTTTTTTGCAATGTCTCTGAATGGCCAATTTAATAATGAAAAAATAATGGTAATTATAATATATAAAACCGCAAAGGCGGTCTATTTCAAACATCCATATATGAAATGTTCATAAAAGAACATTGACAAAGAAAGGTAACATGGTTTCCACACAAAATATTTGGTGCTGTTACTTCAAAATTAGCATATTAGAATGATTTCTGAAGGATCATGTGACACCTGTAATGCCTGTTGAAAAATCAGCTGTCGTCACATTTATATAAATAAAATAGAATAGTTACTTTTAATTGTAATAAATAATATTTCACAATATTACTGCGAATTATCATTAAATCAAGCATGCAATGTGCTAAATAAAACTTACAGGAAAGCTCTGGTAAACTTACATCATGAATATTTACGTAACTTAATCATAGCTTACTAAAACCGGAGCAGTCCAAAACCATCATTGCAGTGCAGCGAGTCTAACCTGTTGCATAGCAACAGCACTACTGCAGATCCCTCACCTCAACTAACACAGGTTTCAACCCATTCAATCAATAAACCATATTTAAATAAGGATTCCTCGCCTCAACAAAACCACCTCAGAGAGCAAGAGAGAGATGCCAGTGAAGAGAGACATGAAAACCATGGAAAGGAGGAAATGAGAGCGACAAAGACTGGACATACTGTGGAGGAGGCCAACAGAAAGTATTACAGAGCCACAGATGCTTCCTGCAGTAGCTGAAGCATGTCTGTCTTATCTAGTCAGCATGGAAATTTCCATTTCCTATGCGAGTTCACGAGGACCCAGAGGCAGCAGACTTCAGCTGACCTGACTGAAGCACCCCAGCTGCTGTCCAACCACAATTCATGATCCACGTAAACAGCCAATCGGGGCAGAGGGGGCGGTGCCAAGTGTGTGTCAGAATGAGAGCAGGTGTATACTACGCAGTTGGCTAATGCATATGACCTGAAAGAGGAGGAGGGGGGAAGAATAGGGTAAAGAAATGAGGAAGAAAGATCACAAGATACGAGAGATCCTGAGGTTTGACGCTCAAATGTATATATATATATATAAAATTAAAAAAACATTTATTATTCTATATACAAAAATTAAATGATATATTTATAATTATTATAGTTATGATATTGTATTTGTTATATTATAAAAAAATATTCTGATTATTAAATTCATGCAAGAAGTGACAGTGACTTCTATACTGTAGTGACAGCCCATCTGGATTTAATTTATGGATAAATTACAAAATTGACACACAAATTTGTCAAATTCTGTACAACCATTAAAATAAGTTCTGGATGAATAACTTAAAAAAAATTATAGTAAGTAAAATGAAATAAGTTATACATTTATAATAATAATAATAGTAATAATTATTATTATTATAAATAATATACTATTTATAATAGTATATAAATATTATAAATTATTATAAATAAAAATAATTA